ATCGCCGTCGACAACCGGATTATTCTGTGGTAAAAGTGTTCCGAAAGGATAATTATAAAATATGCAGCGGCGAGCTTATCCTCATCGTTGAAGGGACTAGTAAGAACTTTCCGCAGTTAAGAAATGATCCAAGAAAATGGGCCACGACTGTCACGATCGCTGACAATCTAGTGATTCTCGTGAAGTCGCCAAAAATAACAGTAAACTTGAAGCTGAGACACGAACGCATTTATTCCTCGAGAAAACGTCAACTTCGATTTCAACAAAATATATCGCTCAGGCGAAAGTAGAGCGCGACAGCGTTGAATTTTTGAAGTCATGTAATAATTGTTTAAAATGGAGAACCACAAACTTGGAAAATAATACAAATATAGTGGAGTAAAAGGTTTGAAGAGGAAAATAAACCTTCAAAAAAACTAAGAATGAGTTATTTCTTCGCAACTTCCAATGTCTTCGCAACAAATTGCATTCTTAGCAGACGTAATGATGTATCTTTATCTCTACGTTCTTGGTATACTGTGGAAACTTTATATATATGCAAAATGGGTCAAGATGCTATTTCGTAGCACACGCCGTTCCCTATGAACATCTCGTAATTATCGCTATTAAAAGGCATCATTTCGTAAACAATTTCTAGATAAAACGAACCAGAATTTCGTATATGAACGGATAGAAGCTCGAGTGACTGCCCTCCAATTATCTCGCGTGCAGACGAATTATCTCTCGTGAAAATAATCTGATTTACCTGTAATCATTAATCGACGACGTTCGTTGGAAGGATTTAAATGTATATCTATTATTACACGTGAGAAATTTGCAATCTCGGCCGTAAGCTTCCAAACTATCGTGTACACGTATCTCGAGTTCGAAGTAAGTCGGCCTTGACGGTAAGGAAGGCAGCTTTTTCAAAAGAGGATAGAGAGAGAGAAAGAGAGCAGACTAGAGCGATCGACTGGAGAGGATTGAGAGACTGCGCGAACAGGAGGAGATAAAGCTGGATGGCGATCAAGCGAAGTGTTGAAAGATTGAAGAGACGAGAGAGCAAGGCAGATCAGTCTCAAGAAGAACCGATAAGAGAGAAAAAGATAGAGAGAGGGAGCCAAGAAGGTGGGTGGGAAGATAGGTGGATCGCCGAAGAAAAGACAGGGAGAAGAAAAGCAGGATGGACAGATACATCGATGAACAGAAGACAATAGGTGAGAAGAAGTGCAATAGGAGTGGGAGGGAGTCAATGACTCGTGAACTTTTCGCATCGATTGTAAATATTTAAAGCATGAGGTCAGGGAAGAGTGACAGACGATACAAAATTCAATTTTTTTTGTATGTTTTATTTTGTATGTTTTATGTGTTCTGGAATCGAAGGATTTTTGGATTGCTCGCGCTTCGAGAAAATAACGGAAACCGGACATACCGGATGTATACGTAATGTCGCAGCTGACCGCTCACGACGTCGTCGTCAAATACCTGACGTAGTCATAGACGAACGGCGTTTAACGTCGCGCGAAGTTTGCAATTCAATTTTCATAGTGATGACGCCTACATTCTCTCATCACTTTGTCGCGTCTTGATCGATAAATGCTCGTGAATGCGAACGCAACATAGACAATTCAGACGCACACGTGTCCGTACTATATCTTGATTTTCGCACAATTGCGGCATTATGCCATGTTTCTCGAAGCGGAACTGTGCGTTCGTGTTCGCGATAATTTCGACGGAAAAATTTCAACCATTCGAATAAAATCGTTCAGTATTATGCAGCGGAATGTAACGACCGGCAGTAATTAGCGTTCCGCTGAAATCATATCGATTTGCTCCCGAGCTGGTTACGCATTAATGAACACGAATCGAACGCTTAAATGTCGCAATACCTCGAGAAACGCTATTGAATTTTAATTAGTATTAGGTCGGCTTGAAAAGCGTGATTTACGCCGCATTTTTAGCGTGTAACGTAACATGATGCTATTTCACGACACTGCTTGCAAAACTGTTTTGCAATCTGCATATTACTTGTCGCGATGTCGTGATATCACGATACCATACGTCGCATTACTTTATTGCCCCTCCTAAGATTTATGAAACACGAAACATTAAAGATAAATCAAAATACATCAAAGCCAGCACGACAGGCCTCCGGACACGCACAACCAGGCTTCGCCGATCTTTGGCGAATCCGAAAATGTGCCAACAAGTGTCTTTTGTCAGCAAAAATTGTTGGAGAAGTCATGGTTATTGAAGAATATTATCAAATAATAAAAAAAAAAGAAATAAATGTATAAAATTTAAAAACAAATCGATATAAAAAAAAATCCACACAAGATAACTGTGTATAAATTTTTTTTATTAATAAGCCATAAATACAATACATAACTTTTGGGTTATCATCAGTATAGAGCCAACAAATTAACAAATTTAGCACCGAGCGTTACATTTACAATCGATAGAGTATCAAAAAATATGCGCGATGTCAATCAGAAACGTGGATTAAAATTCCAATATAAAAGTCCAGAAATGAAAATCTTCAAACGTTTTTAGTATTTGGTAGATTAATTCGTCAGTCAGAAATTGAAAAAGCAGCTGAAATAAAGATAAGCTGTAAAATATTGCGCACGATGTAACAGCGTAGTAGGTAAAAGCTTATGATAATATAAGCTTTTAATCTTATATTATACACGTTGTTACATCGTGTAATATTTGACAGTTCGCTTTTATTTTGGTTTCTTTTTTTAATTTAACTCACGAATTAAGTTTCTAGCAAATACTAAAGACATTTAAAGATTTTTATCTTGTGTTGGTCTACATCGGCTTGTTCTTGAATTTTATGATTTTATTCTTTGAAATCTTTTTATCTTATATATTGCATAAAGGTATGGTTTACATATTGCGCTGGTTGTATCTCTAGAGAATCCACCGCTTTCCTGAGAACATTAAAGTCGATCAGGATGTCTAGCTGTCTTATTAAGTGCTATTCCGTTCCAACTTGTCACTATTCGTGTAATAGAGAGATCTCCCGTTCGAGCAAACTGGCTGATACGTAATTGAGATCAACGATGTGGAAAGATCAGGTGAATGGCGACAAAAGAAAACGACCGAAAAAGGAAAGGACCAAAGACATCAACGAGAATTCGCGCGAAAACGCGATTGTGTTCTACCCACAAATTACAATTTAACTCGCTTCGTGATTGGCGCTCCTAAGTTCGAGAAAATAGCGTGTCGTAGACTTTTTTCCGACTTTCGTAGAAAAGCTTTGAGTTTAAATGAAGGCGATCTTCCTCGTTATTTGATAGAAATAACAGCATTATCGTTATGTCATGTTATAAGATGCTCGCCTGTTTTGAATTTGAGACTTGTTACGCAATTTGCGCATTATATGATTAAGATAAAACACAAGTAAAGTTCAGAATGAGGTTATTAGCAGCTCGTTAAAAGAGAGACGTAGATTGAATTAGTTCGCCGCTAATGGTATTTAATGTGCAATTCGAGAAGTTACAAATTACATCGCGAGAAACCAATGGCAGTGAGAATTGTAACAATTTGTTTATAATCGCGTCTTCTCTAGAATTGCGCCGTTATTCCTACATTTTTCTTAGAACAATAGATATATTGTGCGAACGATATTCTTGTACGCGGACATTACGGCGCCTGCGGGCACAATGACAAATGTATGGAGTTCTATTGTGAAAACCTATTGTAAACGCGCACGCGGCAATAATCGGCCGCGGTGCACCTCGTTTTGTTCTCTCCTCCGGTTTTGTGATTGCGGGTAAAATGTTGGATAGGTGACATCGCGACGGCATGTATCGTACATGTATCGCATGAACGCATGCCAGATAAAAGTCGCGGCGAGCCAAGAGGTACGTGTCACGTTACGTACTTGAAAGTGTTACGTTCGAATCCTCTTGCAAATGCAATTGCACCGATGTTTAAACCTTTTGACAAGTTACATATCAAATGTCAACTGTGACGCACACATACACGTAGTTAAGCCGCTTTAAAACTAAAAGGTTTTCCTTTTGGTTTCCAATTTATTAAATAACGCAGTTAAAACAATCGTACAGACCGACAGTACAATTTAATTAAATCTGCCCCGATCAGAAGCAACTTGACTTTATGATCGGAATCTATATAAAAGGGATCGACCGGGAATATAAAATTATCACCATGGAAACTGTTTGGACAAATTGAAAAGTAAATCGTTTTCTTACCTTTGAAACAGGAAAAACGGCGCTTTAGTTTCTTCCCTTTTCCGAGAAGGAGATTTAATACCTTATCAAACCAGGTACAATCATTGCCAAGATCCGATAGCACTCTACACGTAGATATAGTTTATAGGCCGTTTTCCGAGCTTTTTCGTTGTCGATACTTAAGAGAGGTAGATTATGTAACGGGGGACTACAGACGAACCAACTTTAACATTTATTATAATTGAACGTGGAAACTTTAACACGACGATTAAGTAGTAATTGACAACATTCGTTTGGTCGTTAAGCGTCACCTTCCCTCTCTCTTTTCGCGCCGATTCTTATGTCTATGTTTCCTCTATATTATCTTTGTCAACGACATACATGTATATACACATATACATACATATATGTATAGATTTATATAGATTTCTTTTATACGGCGATATATCTCTCAAATTTGGAACAAACGGTAAATTTTATAATCACACTCCACACAAATTAATATTATTACACACATATATATATATATATACATGTATACATATATATATATATTTTTTTTCAGAAGAGGATTATAATATTAATAGGACATCTTTTTTTTTTATTAATGAAGACGTTATCGTTAGATTAACACAGATCAGTTTGTAATCCATCGAGCGAGATGCACTCTCGCTTGATTTTATCCTCTTTTCATTCGATATGTCACAAGATATCACTCATTCCATGATGCTGAACTCTGTGTATATCCAACTAGACTCGCATCCCCCATTGCGGATTTCTCTTTCTCTGTTTCTTCTCCAATTTCGCTGCTGGTTCTTCGTTTCGCAATTTTGCGTGACACCGCACAATCCTCTCTCCTTCCTCGCGCAACACTGACGTGAATAACACTGAGACTTCAAAACACTCTTTGACTTGATTCTCCTTATGTGTGTCACGATTCTCTCGTTGGAGAAAAATCTAGATGATTACGATGAATCCGAGTGATATCCACTGAAAGCACAAATACGTGTCGGTCGATGTGTCGCTGACTAATTCGTTCACGCCGGAAATGACAATTGTTCCTGTCTTTTTTCAACGACCGACATGCACGCATCTTACTCCCGGCTTTATCACCGGTTTAACGCCGGCCTTAGGAAGGAAGCTCGTTGTCGCCGTGATCGCGTGCGGAACATTAAGCGGCAATGTGCTAAAGAAGGTAAGATTGATAGGATTGCGGGATTCGATTTTCCCTTGTGCAATATTTTACTTTTAAACGCGAAACTTGACTACGTATATGCAGTTTGTTCTTTTAAAGAGATATTAATAGACAAATGAAGTCAGTTAGAACGTATAATAGTTCAAGCTGAGTTTACTTTGGTCTGATAACCTATGAGGAACATTTCGCGTGTAATTTCATCATCAAGAACTCATAACTTGCGTTGCGAAGGGTGAACATCTAAGCATCGAATCTCGTGTAATCAAGAAAGTTTGGAAAATTATTTTATTACTTCGTCCATTCGATCCATGAAAGTTATAAGATTAGCAAATTTGCATTTCGCTTCATTTTGAGAGACTTACGACTAAGTTCGTGTTTGTAACTTGATAGTTTATGTTATTACAAACAGAGAAGAAGATAACTGTCCCTTGAACCGGAAAACTAACTTTCTCGAAATAAATAACTAGATTCTGGTCTTCCTCCGTTAGCTGTTTCTTCGTAATTGTTATGTTAATTTCGAAGTAATTAACTGTAGTTACAGAAAGAGAATTAAAAAAAAAAATGTGGTTGGAAATCTTTATATAGCTCAGTCTCGTTTTTTTTTTATATTTCCCATAAAGTGAGCATTCCACTTTATATCTTTGCCCCATCTGATGATTATACAAAGTCCATGGAAAGTTTATTGAGATGTACTACCCATATTTCGTGTATATTATTTTTTACTGATTTATAAAAATACACACAGCATTCAAAAGCTTGCTACGTTAAAAAAGAAACTGCTATCTTGAATTAAATAGTCGTAGTGTATTGATTGGAAGTATATTTATTGAAGTAGTATTATATAGTACGACTACGTCGATATATCGTATCAAATTCCACGAAATTTTTTACATTTTGTATGTACAAATTCATTACAAAAATTACTGATATATCATTATTCATTTTTTATAATTTTGAAAATTTATCATTCATCACAAAAAAAGAGCGTAAAATATTTTTTCCCGCAATTATTGGCAACTCATCCGCAATATCAATTTCTGAAACGCAAAACTGTAGAATTACATTACGTTTGATTGAAAAACTCGCCGGAAGCTAGTTGACTATAAGGGGTAAAGATATATAGCCATGTTACAACAAGGGATTCTCACAGCACTTTGAAATTGCCTTGCTGAGCTTTATTTTGCGTAAACTACATGAATCCGGGAAGCCTATCATCTGTTTGCCTAATATATCGATTCTTGCCGATGCAATCAACCAATATTTTTTCCGATATATATAAAATGAAATACTGATAATATTCGATATAAATAAAATTTATTTTTATTATTCTTCTCTGCTCAGATCGGAATTTTGAATACCAATTATGCAAAATTTTTTAATCAATACAGAGCGTCAGACATTATTTATAAATAATATATCCAGCGCGCCATTAATAAACCTTTTATTTATGCGCAAATTAATATTAAAACGGTTTAAAAATTTTTGTAAAAGAAAAACATTCGCAATTCATGAGAGTTATTCGTATATCGAATTTCAATCTTTTAGCTCAACTTTAATAATTAATAAAAACGATAATCGATTTCGACATGTATATTATCGAGTTATAAAGGAGGAACTATACTTTGTTCTTTTTTCTTGACATTAAAAAAGAAAAATATCCGAAAAGAACAATGCGCTCACGTATCGTTGACGCACTAACAAATTTCCACGCGAAAGAGTTTTCACGCCTGTTTCCGCGGGTTCTCACGCGAGTTTCCGAGACGGAAGAGGCTCGCGTTGGTTTTACGCGAACGAGGCTTCACGCGAGAGAACACGCCGCCGCGTGGGGTACACGTTTCTCATTCCCCAGGTCCCTTCGATCAACACACGCTATCCCGCAGTGCGAAAAACCTTTTTTTCTACCCGGTACGTTGCGACGCACGCACGCGCGCGCACGCACCGTCGACGAAGACGACGCATCGTCGTCGAGAGTTCACGCGCACGGGAAAGCCTCCTCCACGCCTTAAAATCCTAAGCGTCGGGCGTGCTGGAGCGAGGAGTCGATTATACGACGAGCGAGAGGCCGTTCACTCCGCGCCTTCGCCGGACTGTCGTTGACGCGAGTAGTAGCGTCGCTCGGGTTGCCGGCGACGGCGGGACGCCACTCGACGGCGACGGCGACGCCGGCACTTCCTCGCTACCATTATCCACACCTCGTCACAGGGTCCCTTCACGGGGGAAGTCGGGCGCGCGCGTCCCGTGCCGTATATTCGAGAAGAAAAAACACGGTGCGGCTGAGACGACTAGCTCGTCTATACGGCTCGTCTCTACGTGGGGACGCCAGGCGAAACGAAACGAGCCGAGGCGACGTGGCGCGACGCTGCAAGTAGAAACGGATCGACGAGGGCGGCCGCCTTTTACGGGTGTTACGGTGTACGCGCGCAGCGGGAAGGCCGTGTAGGCCGTGTTAAGCACGGCACTCACTACTGCCGGCTGGTACAACGTGTACCTCCGCTACTAACCTAGCGTGCCCGTCCTCTTGCGTCGCTTCGTCTCGCCTCTCTCTCGCCAAGACTCCTTCCCACCACTTCTGTACAACCCCCGCGGACCCTCTCGCCACGACTACCTGGCCAAACCCACCCTCCCCGCGACCCCGTGTTCTCTATACTACGGCGCCGATCAACCCCTAGAGCGCACGAACCACCACCCCTGCCGAGACATCACTGCGCATGGCGCAGTGCTGTGTTTTCCCCGCACAACTCCCGGACGAAAAAGGATTTTCTCTCTTTGCGGACGTTAAACTTATCCCTTCTTTTTTGCCTTTTTAAATAACATCTTATTAACTATCCTTAAGTTGATAAACTTATTTATGTACGTATAATGGAATGCCATGAGATTTATGAAGGAAGGATAGGTCGATATATTTGAATCACGATTTAGAATCTTTTTGCACAATTACTTCGCTGACTTTTGTCTTGTGTCTTTCTTATTTGTTTATATTATGTTTGTCCATTTATTAAAATACAATGTTAGAGGCGCCTCTGCATCCATGGAAAATCTATCACATCGGAGATTCGTGCTACATTAAGAATGTTAAAGCAGAGAAACTATGCATTCAAGCTCGTAGAATTTTCATGATTCTGCCATGTATCGCATATGATGAATAAGTATTGCACACGCTGGATGAAACGAAACCTCTTTCAGTTTGTATACCCTCAAAACGAAAAAGATGAATAACGTTATCAAAACTAGATCACAATGTTTTGCATCGTTAACGTGTCGCAATGACGATATATCGATCGAGAGACAGTGCGCAAAATTGCGCACGTCGCATCGGCGCGATTTGCGAGGGTTAAAAAAGTTACGTTTACGTTGTACAAAACGCGAGAATACAAAAGTGGGGGTGCAAAGGTCTATTCTCTGCGGAGGGAAACTTATCTTTCATACCCGTTTATTTACATATTTTCCGGATCACCTAGAAACGCTTGGTGCGGATCTCAGGAGGAATTATATTCCTCGCGTGTGGGAACGGAATGGCGGCGACACGTTCGCCAAAAGGAAGCGCAAAGTACGATGACACGCACGGCGCCGCCACGCGGCAGTATTCAACCAGTGGCGGCGGAATGGTGGATGTTGACCTACGAGCCAGTCAACCAGGTAACCCGAATGAATCCTGGTGACTTGGTGACCGATCTGCCGCAATCCGCCGGCAAAGCCGGAGGCTGCCGTCTGAACTCTAGCGCCCCTGGGGAGACCTAGGTGGATTTGGTGAAGATACAAGGTGCGTCGAACGGAAGAACCAGACGGCAGAGTGCTGGACGATGCACGAGGGACGGTCGTGTTTGTACACCAAGAGGAAGAGGAAGAAGAAGAAAATGGAAAGCAAGAAGAGAAATGAGAGGAAAAGATAGAGAAAGAGGGGGCAGAAAGGCAGAAAGAAAAGGTCGTGATGGTCAGAGAGAGATGGCACATACGGTAGCAGCCACCACGTCGTATACCAACGCCACTTCATATTGATTTTCCGGGAGAGGGGTGGAGGAAAGGGGCTGGAATGGTGGAGGAGAGAGAAAGCGTGAGACAGAGAGAAGGTGGAGGAACGTCCAAGGTGGAAAGACGGAGAGAGAAGTTGAGAGGCAGAAAGGGATGGAGCGATCGGTTCTTCGTCGTTAACCACCGTGGCTAACCCCTAAGGTTGAGTCCGGGGAAAATGGCGGGCCGAGCATCGGTACAGTATAAAAGCGTATGCGCTTTACTGAAGAGGCATCGCACGCGCACAACTGAGGACAAAAACTAGAAACAGAATCCAAATCCAAATCTGACAAAAATGGACAGATAGAAAGGGATTTGCATTCATGTAAATAATTTAAATAGCAGTGAATGTCTAATGTTTACATCCAAGAGTTTACATTATTTTTCTGAAAAATAGTATTACGCTGTTAAGTGAATGTATTGTCCTCTCTATACATGTGGGATAAATGTAGATGCATCGATATATCTCAATATTTTATACAATTACACTTTTGAGCTTTTAAGTGGATAAATAGAATAATCACACCAAAGTATAATTTTCGTTAAAACTTTGTTCTAAAAAGAACAATAAAACGTATCGCTTAAAAATGCTCAGAAGTCTTAAAGTTAATTATTTATTTTTATATTCTTCTATTTTATAAGGATGTAACTAGTGTAAATTTAACTACAACATAATTGTTATACTGTTAAAAAACGTAATTATTTATTTATTATAAAATTAAAATATTTTTTAGGATATTTTCAGCACTCTATCTATCAACTTGCATATCTTTAATTTGAGAATAGTTACTTGGAATATTTATATACTTCAGTGATAAAAAATGTAAATTGTAAAATATTATTTTATATGGATTTTATTTAACATATTTTTTGAATAATAAAGTATAGTTATTTACGATGCAATCATTTGTATGAAAATCCGCAACAAAACGTATTAATCTTTAGTTTTTAGAAATAATAATGGGCTACTTAATGCATTTATTCCATTTAATATTTGTTCAGTTTTTACTTAATTTTCTTTAGAAAATTGAAATTAAAATACATATTCATAACGTTCGGATACTAATAAATCAGAAAACAATCAATAATATACGATATATTAATAATTGTGATTTTAATTGAAGTATAAAAACATTCTAGGTGATCATGTAAAAAAGGTGACTATTCCTGGATTAAATTATATCTGCCTATTATATTTATATATAAAAAATTACGGATTAAATTAAATAAAACGCACTGTATCAGAAATTATAGAGTAACATCTTTAATCCTTTATCTTAAAGTGTGCAAAAACTTAATTTATAATATTTAATTTTTTTCAAAAGAGAAAAATATCTGCTCATTTTTTAAATCAACGAAATAATGTGTTTTGTGTTGATCGAAGTCAAAACGAAAAAAGAAAAAACATGATACTCTTATTATTTTATCACTTTTATTTTTCTCTTCCAATCCATAAATGTATGTCAATTATGTGAATTAATCTAGTAATGAAAGCCAATGAATGAAGATCGAACAAAAAAGAAATAATACTTCTTTAGCACATTTGATCATTTCTTAAAATGTATTAAAAGAGCAAATTAACGCTTTCGCACATAAAAAAAAATGTAAAATTTTTTAAACCTTTATTTTTATCATCGCTTGTTCATTAATTTGTGCACAATAGTTAAGCGACACGTTATTATGAATTCTAGCAACAGATATGTTATGCTTCGTGTTTCCTATCCTTTGTGTTTGTATATATAACTCTAATCTGAAGACACTACAACACGTATTAATCTGGTCATTCATAATAGTTAAAAGCTACTTTGCCCTGACATAATAGGAAGCTTGTTAACTAATTCTATGGTTATACATGCGTGTCTGTATGAATCATTATTAAAATTAAATGATGATTTCATTCCCATACGTGAGCCGCAGTCATCTTTCTTGTGAGAATGATTCGACGGCTCGGTTCTCGCCTCTTCAAAATGATTAAAACATGCGATAACATTTATAATTATAAATATTTAGATAGTGCGTATTATCTAACACGAAAATCACCTCTCATTTCATTATATTAATGATTATTATCATTATTAATTAGTTCTTTGCGTTAAATAAGAGAAAAAGTATATATATATACACATACACATAATATATGTATAAATTTATATATTGTATATATATATATATATATATTTATTTATTTATATTTATATAAAGAAAGAAAAAATTTACTAAATCTTAAAATATATTTTTTTTTTTCAATAGTATTAACTAAATATTTATTTATAATAAATAGATATTTATTCAATAAAAAATAATAGTAAAATTAAATTGGTTCTCGTACAAATATATGTTTATATAATAA